ATTTCGACAACCCTAGTTAACTCATTTTAAATAGGGTAGAAACTCTACTATAATTAATTTGATCACACAGAAAACATTGATCACAACTAAAACGCACATTCAATAAATGTTCTTCAAAGTTAGATGAATTCTAGTTTCATTTGCAAAAAGAAAAAATCTTGTATTCAAGATTGAGTAAAATTCTTGGAGAAAAGCTTCAAACTCAACATGCCATAGAATATTATATTTCTAAAATCTTGCCAAGAAATCACTCAAATTCATTAGTTAAAATTACCTAAAGCGATTTCTTTCATTTAAAACTTTTATTCTTTAACAAGCTCCCAACTCACCTAAGAAATCACTTACCGTTCTAATTAAAAGGCTACTAAAGAAATCTTTAATTCTCCAACTACTATAAAGTGCAGTCGAATTTTAAAAGATATAAGATTTAAATAGACAAAAGCTAAAAAGAAAAAAGATAGAGATTTTTTTTAAAAAAAAAGTAAGAGAAATATTTACATACCAATGAGAGAATAAAAGTAGGGAAGTATGGTGTTGGAAATTATATTTTCATTAATTAGATATACCAAACAGATGCGAAAATATAATTTGACAGATTAACACAACAATAGTGGGTAATGAAGAGAGAGAAAATGATGTTAATAGAGTTATTAACAGCGTTTGTAACCGTCTGTTTGTGTACGAGCCAATGGGAGAGAAACGCGCAATAAGTTGCCATTAAAGCTCCAACGAGTCGTTAGATTGGATGGTCCGTGGTCCATGACACCACTCCATCACTCTATTTATGGTCATGGAGACACTCACACTGCAACAACAACAAGAAGCAAAGATCCCTTCTTCTAGTTTATGCCAAAACCAAATTCTCCAAACGAGAGCGCAATGGTCTTAGAGGAGAGCGTAGTGCATGATGTGAGGCTATCGTCAGTTGGGCCGGGTCGGGCGACCGGGTCGGATGTGTTCCACAACCCGGGTGGGTTGGACTTGGCCATGAAACTGCACTACCTGAGAGTTGTGTACTTTTTTGATAGTGAGGCTACAGGAGAACTGACCATAATGAAAATAAAGGATGCGATGTTCACTTGGTTCAACCATTACTTCATCGCCTGTGGAAGGTTCCGGAGATCAGATTCCGGTAGGCCTTTTATAAAGTGCAATGACTGTGGCGCAAGGTTCATCGAAGCCAAGTGCAGCAAAACCCTTGAGGAGTGGCTAGCCATCAAGGACTCCTCTCTCTTCAAGCTCCTTGCCTCTCAACAAGTCATTGGTCCAGAACTCTCTTTTTCTCCTTCTGTGCTCTTGCAGGTCCTTCGTTCTCTTATTTTATATAACTTTCTTATAATCAAAATTTTTACTTCATTTAATATTATTCATTTAATATTATTCACGTGTCATTATGTCATTGATCCAAAATTACTCCATAATCAATAATAATGATTATAAACACAATAATAATAATAATCATAAACACCAACATGAATCAATCACATAATGATACCTAGATGATGTTAAAGTGTTTTCAAAAAATATTGTCAAAGTATCATTATCCGATCGATATCCCTTTAATATTTTTATTCATTTTTAATTTATTAACTATTTTTTTTGAATAATATGTGCTGAATATGTTAAATATTTTAAATATTAACTGTTTATTTTTTATTTAACGCTTTTATAAAATAATAAAATGATTAGTGCTTTGGGACAACCTTCCAAAGACTTATTGGAATACCAAGTGAGAGAAAAAATTCTTTAAAACCAGAAGACAGGAAACAAATTATTGCCTTCTCTTAACATAGTAGGATATTCAACTTATGTTCTTTCTTATCCGATTTTGTTGTTATTCGTGTTTGCATACTTTTGATCATAAATTTGTTTTAAAGTTAAATACTACTTTTCCAATGATGTCAATTATTAACAATTTTGGATTTTAGATTAGGAAAAAAAATTATACGATTCAAGTAAAATCTCGCCTTTACTAAATAACAAACTAANCGATATCCCTTTAATATTTTTATTCATTTTTAATTTATTAACTATTTCTTTTGAATAATATGTGCTGAATATGTTAAATATTTTAAATATTAACTGTTTATTTTTTATTTAACGCTTTTATAAAATAATAAAATGATTAGTGCTTTGGGACAACCTTCCAAAGACTTATTGGAATACCAAGTGAGAGAAAAAATTCTTTAAAACCAGAAGACAGGAAACAAATTATTGCCTTCTCTTAACATAGTAGGATATTCAACTTATGTTCTTTCTTATCCGATTTTGTTGTTATTCGTGTTTGCATACTTTTGATCATAAATTTGTTTTAAAGTTAAATACTACTTTTCCAATGATGTCAATTATTAACAATTTTGGATTTTAGATTAGGAAAAAAAATTATACGATTCAAGTAAAATCTCGCCTTTACTAAATAACAAACTAACACTTTGAGACAAAAAATATCAATTATAAATCGCCTAAAAAGTGACTTCCTCAATTATCTACAATGCATATTTAAATATCCTGAAAATGATAAAAGTACACACACACATATATATATAAAATAAAATTAACATATTTAGTTAATATGATATAAATTTATGTCCCAACCTTAGTTTAAAAGTAATAAAGTAAGTATTAGAATTAAAGTAATATATTTATTAAAAGTTGAGTATTTTAAAAATAAATTGAAAATATAAATTTTAATACAGATCAATTTTAAAGATAATATAATACAGATCAACTTTAAAGATAAAAAATTAATTCTAAAATATTTTCATGAATTTAATACTTCTAATAATTATCTTTTATAAACAGGTTTCATGAATGATATGGTGGAGCATTGTTTTCTGAAAAGTGATAAGGTCGGATTGGTTTCTGTTACTTTCGCTGTTCGTCTTCTTAATGTGTTATTTTCGTTATTATTATTATGAATGTCCTAGACCTAAACCTTCCTACGTTGTATATAAATGAATCCAGTGCCTTATGAGCATAAAAGTCAAAACTGGTACAAAAAAGTGAGAACATATTTTATGAAATTCTGGTAGATCCTTTTTTCAGACATTTCCAAAAAAAATTTCTGTAAAATAAAAAAATAATCTGAATTTTTGTAATAATTACTGGACTTCGTAAAAAGGTCTTAGAAATTTTAAAAACAAAATGCAGTGAAAAAGGACACTAATTAATTTTCTATGAAAAATAATAGAACTTTGCTTTTGAAAATGACCCTTGTTTCTTTGGTGATTGATTATGCAGGTAACTGGATTTAAGTGCGGAGGAATTTCATTGGGTCTGAGTTGGGCTCATATATTGGGGGACCCACTTTCAGCTTCAGAATTCATAAACTCATGGGGACGAGTAATGAATAACTTGGGCCTCAAAATGCTTCCCAACGTTCCAAGATCCGTCCCAGCACCCGGACAACCCGGACCCCAAAAGGATCCAATTTCGGCAAAACGGATTGACCCGGTGGGTGATCATTGGATCCCAGCCAACAACAAGAAAATGGACACATTCTCCTTCAACATAACAAGCTCACAATTGAACTACTTGCAAGCACAAATCTGGGGTCCAAGTCATCACCAAACCCCTGATTTTGAATCACTATGTGCCATGATCTGGCGCTGTGTTGCCCGGGTTCGGACAAAATCCGAACCCAAAACCGTAACTGTGTGCCGAAGCGACCCGTATAGAAAGGAGAATGATATTATTGGTAACAACCAAGTGATAAGCAAGATTGAGGCTGGAAGTGAATGTTGAATTGGTGAGACGGATTTGAGTGTTTTGGCAAGAATGCTTGAGGATCTGGGTGTCGATGAGAGGAAGCAAATTGAAGAAGCAATTGAGAGAGACGAAGGTGTGAGTGATTTCTTCGTGTACGGTGCCAATTTGACATTTGTGGACTTGGAAAAGATCAATTTGTATGATTTGCGATTGAATGGACAGACACCAACATTTGTTTACTACAGCATTCAAGGGGTTGGAGATGAAGGAGCCATTTTGGTGTATCCGGGGCCACAAGGATCTATCAAAAATGGCGGTGATGGGAAGTTTGTGACCATGATTTTGCCAGAAGATGAAATGGCCAAGCTTAAATCTGAACTCAAGATGAATGGGCTTCTGCTTGAGGATAATTAAGTTTTAATGATATTAAGTATTTGTTAGAGAATAAAGTTCTTGCTTTTTGTTTATTTGATAGAGTATGTTTGTGAGCAGGGAAGATCTTTAGTTTCTGTTGTGTATGGGCTCATTGTTCTTCTTTCTTTGTTGTTATGCTTCTTTTTAGTAAAGAACCCTACTGCTTTGCGCTGAGAATTACTATTTTACATCAATAACCCATTTTAATGTGAAATATGTAATTTAAGTTAACTTTGTTATATATCATAATTATGTCTATAATTATTATCAAAACAAAACCGACAATATCAATGTAAGAGAATATTCTAAAAACTTTGACACACTTAATAAATATTAGGCTTAAATATTAATTTGTTACGCTTTTTTGTTAAATATTTTAATGTGATTTTAGCTTTTTTTTTAATCAAATTTTAATTTTTGTTCATTTTGTTCCATTTTCACTTTTTCTTAATGTTCATTTTAGCTTTAGTAACAATCCCATTTTCACTTTTTTTTTCATTCATAATGTATACAATCTCATTAGTGCTAAGCTTCTCGAGTTTATTCTGTTATAATTTTTAAATAAATTTTGAAGTTATAATGAAATAATTGGTTTATTGTCTTTTTTTATGTCTTTTTCAACGTTAGTCCACAGAGTATGACAAAGTACATTTTATATTTAACACTCGTTGAGTAAGTTGTTGGTTTGCTCGTCTAACGAGTTTGCATAAACCAGATGCATAATTCTACAAGATAGACAATACTCTCAATCCTAATCGAATGTTTTTCTCCTATATATGAGTCAAAACAAGACCAATTTGCTTAAAATGACTCAATGGAGCTAAAAGTACCACTTTAGAGTGCCAATCCCAAATATCATAACTTAGAGGAAGAGCCCTTGCTCACAAAGACTCCACACAAGACACAGATCCTCAAATAGTTATAACTACATTAATGATCCTATTATACCCTCATGACTAGAAAAGAGTAGAGAAACACCTAGATCTACTCAAAGACACATGCAAGCAAAACAAGAATTGGATCAAGAAAAGGGCAAAAGGAGAACTTACTCTATTGACAAAATAATCGAGTAGACTTTTAGCTCTTGACACCAAGAGTCTTAGGACGTGCTTAAATATTTAAAACATGAAAGAGAAAGTTAAAATCTTCGAGAGAATAACGAAGGTTTTTATAAACTGAAACTCATTTAAAGGAACTTTATTTATAACTTTCACTTTTTAATAACAAAATATACTACTCTTAACCGATTTTCTAAGACTTCGTAAAAACTAAAGTTTTGTAGAGATTAATTTTAAATGGATAAAAAATTTGAAAACTATTGATTGAGTTTCTATTAAATTTTGACATCATTTGAGTTATCAAAAAATTTAAAACTTTTCAACTTTTCAATTGAATTTTGAGAGTTAGATGTTTTTATTAAATATTAGTTTTAAACCTATGCCATATTTGTCGATTGTTTATCGAAAGAGATTTAGAAAAAAAAATATTTTTAAGTTTATAATTAACTTTTAGTAAAATCAACTATTTATAAGTTTAAAAAGTTATATATTTATAAAAATATAAAAATACAAAGGATAAAACATGTGGGAAAAAACTCTCTAAAAATATAAAAGACATACATAAATATGTGAAGTAGACTTTCTAAAAATACAAATAAGTCTAACGTGTATTATTGGACTTGTCTAATTAGTGTATTGACAAAATTTGTCTAATATGTGTTGTTAGACTTATCTAATTTATATTGCAAGACTTGTCTAATGAGAGAATGAATAGAGTTATCTAATGTGTATTAATATACTAATAAAATATGTATATGAACAAAATTGTGTACCATATATTGTTAAATTTGTCTAATGTGACATACTGGTTTAATATGTATTCTTATATATAATTAATATGTGAAATGACTGATCTAATGTTTTTTGTTATATTCATCTAATGGATACATGGACAAACTCGTCTAACGGTGTTGCTAGACTCGTCTAATTTTTTTTGTTGTATTCATTTAATCAACATATGAACATACTCATCTAATATGTATTGCAAGATTCATCTAATAAGTGAATGAATAAACTTGTCTAAATATATAAATGACTTGTCCAAATTGCTAAATATTTCTAATTAATATATTGATAGACTTGTCTTTTGCTTTACTAATCTAATCAATGTATTCATATAGTTGTCTAATAGTTTCGTTATAATGGATTAATCAATATATGAAATGACTTGACTAATATTATTTATTATACCCATTTAATTATTATAAGAATAGTCTCATCTAATGTGTATTATTAGGCTCATGTAATTTTTGTTTCCCTATATTATTCTAATCAGTGTATGGAAATACTCGTCTAATGTATATTGTTGACTCATCTAATCAATATATCAACACACTCGTTTAATATCTATTGCTAGACCTATCTAAATAAAATTACTTGCTTAAATAATAAAAAAAATAGTCTAACGTGTAAAAAGTACTTAAAGTTTAATTAGAATTTAAATACTTTGAAGAAAAAAATATATTTACATAATAATTGTTTCGTCTAAAAAAACCTAAAATTCATTTATTAATAAAATTTATTTGTACATACATATCATTTTACATTTTCCAAGTATTTTAGTTTACCAAAGTCAATAACTTATATTATCAACCTAAATCTTATAAACTAGAAATTTATAATCTACTAGCTAACTTATTATCTAATTTTGTCAAACAATTAAATAACCGATGATCTTATCTAATTTTACTTCTTCTCTATTATATTTTAACATATATTTTCTTATATACTCCTTAAAACCATTGTTTTATTATAAGATTATATAGAAAAATAAGAGACATTAAAAGTTATTCAAAGAAAGAAACTTAATGTAACAATAGTTTAAACGCTAATAAATAAAAATAATACTTTATAAACATATAAATACAGATTAATTTCAATAAATACTCATTAAAAGCACCTTTAAACAATCCATCACATAAAACCAAAAAGTTAAGTTTTGTAATAGTACTATTCATTATGATTTATTTCTCATTGAAAAAACATAAATAAGTGTTTCTTTATAACTTCTACAGTAAGTGGGTTTGAAAGACAAAGTGAGAGACTCAAGGTCATATGATACTAAGAAATTGGTATGAGAAAGCCCACCAAGAAAAAAATCAAGTGCAAGATATATAATTGTTTATGTTTCTGTAAAAGGTATACATTATGTTTTCCTATGTTATTAATTGCATTTTTACTTTATTCTCATTTCTAGGTATAAACACGTTCGTATCATCTCTTAGTAAGAAAGTAGATGTGTTATCATCTCTTAGTAAAAAAAAAAGTAGATTTTTATCTTCTGCAACAACTCAGTCAGGGAATTATGCTCTTATAGGATCACAAATTTCAACCAATTCGATTTTCGAGAACACTTTCCATGATCATTCAATCTAATACACATGTGTCCCTACCTTAAAATAAAATAAAATAAATTTTATGGTACGTGGAGAATGGTGGATAAGCGTACAAAAAATGAAAATGCGTATAATTAATTATTTTCCTTGTGGATCGATATGTCTTTCGCAACCAATTCTAACAAATGCGAGCGACTTTCAGAACGAAGCTTCTCTTTGCCCATTCATCCATAAACAAGGTTATTCTCGTCATCCTTTCAATCTTTTTGTTGTTTTCGTTTCTTTTTTAAAATTTTCACACAAATGAGTTAGTGTTCTTAATTTCTTCTCTTTTGTTGTCAATTTTTATTATCTTAGTGTTAAAGAATTTACTGAGTTTGGAAAGAANTTTTTAGTAAAGAACCCTACTGCTTTGCGCTGAGAATTACTATTTTACATCAATAACCCATTTTAATGTGAAATATGTAATTTAAGTTAACTTTGTTATATATCATAATTATGTCTATAATTATTATCAAAACAAAACCGACAATATCAATGTAAGAGAATATTCTAAAAACTTTGACACACTTAATAAATATTAGGCTTAAATATTAATTTTGTTACGCTTTTTTCTTAAATATTTTAATGTGATTTTAGCTTTTTTTTTAATCAAATTTTAATTTTTGTTCATTTTGTTCCATTTTCACTTTTTCTTAATGTTCATTTTAGCTTTAGTAACAATCCCATTTTCACTTTTTTTTTCATTCATAATGTATACAATCTCATTAGTGCTAAGCTTCTCGAGTTTATTCTGTTATAATTTTTAAATAAATTTTGAAGTTATAATGAAATAATTGGTTTATTGTCTTTTTTTATGTCTTTTTCAACGTTAGTCCACAGAGTATGACAAAGTACATTTTATATTTAACACTCGTTGAGTAAGTTGTTGGTTTGCTCGTCTAACGAGTTTACATAAACCAGATGCATAATTCTACAAGATAGACAATACTCTCAATCCTAATCGAATGTTTTTCTCCTATATATGAGTCAAAACAAGACCAATTTGCTTAAAATGACTCAATGGAGCTAAAAGTACCACTTTAGAGTGCCAATCCCAAATATCATAACTTAGAGGAAGAGCCCTTGCTCACAAAGACTCCACACAAGACACAGATCCTCAAATAGTTATAACTACATTAATGATCCTATTATACCCTCATGACTAGAAAAGAGTAGAGAAACACCTAGATCTACTCAAAGACACATGCAAGCAAAACAAGAATTGGATCAAGAAAAGGGCAAAAGGAGAACTTACTCTATTGACAAAATAATCGAGTAGACTTTTAGCTCTTGACACCAAGAGTCTTAGGACGTGCTTAAATATTTAAAACATGAAAGAGAAAGTTAAAATCTTCGAGAGAATAACGAAGGTTTTTATAAACTGAAACTCATTTAAAGGAACTTTATTTATAACTTTCACTTTTTAATAACAAAATATACTACTCTTAACCGATTTTCTAAGACTTCGTAAAAACTAAAGTTTTGTAGAGATTAATTTTAAATGGATAAAAAATTTGAAAACTATTGATTGAGTTTCTATTAAATTTTGACATCATTTGAGTTATCAAAAAATTTAAAACTTTTCAACTTTTCAATTGAATTTTGAGAGTTAGATGTTTTTATTAAATATTAGTTTTAAACCTATGCCATATTTGTCGATTGTTTATCGAAAGAGATTTAGAAAAAAAAATATTTTTAAGTT